TCTTTAAGTCAGCCTTCAGTTGAAAACAATTTGAATGCACGCCACAACAATAAATTGGTATTTCTCAAGTCTTTTAAACTGTGCTTTATTCCAGGAAGCTTTTAACTCTGTAGTTTGAATTATCTCTTAGTTAGCTCCTTGAGTTATTTTTATGTAGCAGTGCGTGCTTTTGTTGCTTTTTATCTCCATTGTTTGCTGGATTTTGTCAGCCACCTTGACTGCCTTTGCCAGTGTTGACAAATGGGCTCGCAATCTTAATGCAGATAAATGTCAGTTCCATAGTCATGAAGCAGTTCTTCATTCTCTAAAGTGTAAGGACTAGCATGTCCACCAACGCTTTGCAGAAAGCCATGTGTGATTTTCTATACAATAGTGTATTTTATAGCCAATAATGAAAACTACAGGAGCAGGGATGATAATGCTATGGCTTGGGATATGAATTCACAAATAGGGTAGTCTCAAACAAAACCTTTGGTACACTTTCTTGTTTGTATGAATGAGCATTGTGTTTTGTCACCTGTGTAACTGCCATGGTTCAGTGCTATGGATTCCTGGGATTTGTGGTTTGGTGAGGCACCAGCACTCTTTGGCAGAATGACATTGTAAAACTAAAACTCCAATGAGTTCACAGCACTGAGCCACGGCAGTTAAAGTGGTGTCAAAGTGCATTATTTCTACAGTGTTCACACAGCTTTAGAAAGAGATTCAGATAGCTACAGCACAAAGTAGCAATCTCCTAGATCATTGGTTCCCAACTGGTGGTCCACAGACCACAGGTCGTCCAGAAGATACAGAAAAGTGGTCCATGGGAGTCTTTCACAGAAAACCTTAGTCAGCGTAGTATAGCTGTTGAGGAAGATGTCCTAGAAGCATTATTACCCCCCAACTTTCACACATACTCTTCTTCACCTGCTGGCCCTCCCCTCCTCCTCCTACCCAAACAGAGCCCTAACTTCTGCTAGCACTCGAGCTTAGTGTGCTCCTATCTCACTGGCCCAGCCTTGCTTTCTCATGAGGGGCCAGTGATGATGGAGCTATCTCTGGCCTCCACCTTTGCTGACCTGTGGGCTTTGGCTACCTCCTCCTTTCAGTCCAGCCTGTAAACAGAACTTCCTTCCTTGCCTCAACAGCCAGGTAAGGAATGAAGTATACAACCTGCCTTCCTTTGCCCGACATTGGATCCTTCCTTCCTTACAAGCTCAGGTGGTAGGAATGTTGGATTGCAAGGAAGAGGCTGTAAACGGGGCTCTGGCAGCAGCAGCCTCCTTGAGAGCAGGTAAGAAAGGATCCAATGCAAGGATCCAATGGAGGGGGTGGGAAGGGACTCATTTGTTCATTCTTTTTTTTCTCCTTGGGCTGTAGGAGGCTTCTCTGTTGAAGCCCCATTCACAGTCTCCTTTCAACTCAGCCAGCCCCTCCTGTCGCCTGGGCCTGCAAATAGGCCTCTGGCAGTAGCAGCCTCCTGAAGCCTAGGCAAGGAAGGAAGGATCCAATACCTCCCTTCCCACTCCCTCTCTTTGCCCAGTGTTGAACTCTTCCTTTATTTCCTGCTTCTAGGAGGCTGTGCCAGAGCCCTATTTACAATATATAATATATAAATATAATATAATGTATATAAAACTTTACTATATATATGGGGGACTCAGGGCAGATTTCAACACACAAAAAGGCAAACATTCAATGCCTCAATAATTGTAAATACAAATATAAAAACCCAAAATTTGCAGTCTTCTTCTTGCAACCCAGCCCCTTGCCACCTAGGCCTGCAAGAAAGGAAGTATCCAACATCAGAGAAAGGGAGGGTGCAAGAATGGTAGCATTACATCCTCCCTTCCTTGAAGCTGTTGCTATCAAAGCCCCATATTCAGGCCCAATAGATGGGGAACTAGGTTGAAAGAAAGTGATTGCAAACTGGGCTCTGGCAGCAGCCTCCACGTAAGGAAGGATGGGTGCCACGCTGGGCAGAGGGAGGGAGCAGAAAAGGTGGCATTGGATCCAGCAGATCCGTGAGGGCAGGAATTGAGGGAAGTTCCATCAGTGGCTCCTTTTGAGGAGAGAAGGAAAAGAAGCACGTGAGGTCTCGGTAGGGTGAGGAGTTGATTGATCTCAATGGTCCATGGCACATCTAATTTTTGCCTCAGTGGTCCATGGTCGCTTAAACGTTGGGAACCACTGCCATAGATGAATGAAGCATGAGCAACATTACATCTTATAAAATCAGCAGGAGCAAATCAACATGCCTGAATCTCTGCAAGTGTATAGTCACTTGAATTCAGAATGATGGTGGGGGTATTTATCAAATGAGCAAGTGATGGCTGGATGAGTTTCCCTGTTTCAGCAAGTCTTGCGACTTGATAAGTATCTTGGCTAGCTTTTGGAAATAACTTGCAGCAATAATGCTTTTCCTGTTTTTGCAGACATAATTTTACAGTCTGACAGTGATGGGTTGGATTTTTTTTTAGAACAAATATCTACATACAGTGAAAATCTTGAATTCCTTTTGATCCCGCTCTGGTGCCTTTATTCTGCTCTGAAAGACTATCCTAAGGGCTTGAAGCAAAGCAAAATACAGATAATGAACAGCTGTGTCAGAAGTTGTTAACAAAGATAAAAATCAATGTTCATTTTTTTTGGTATTTCTGCTACTGATTGATCCAAAATCATTTTATAACAATTAAAACAATTTTGGTTAGTCGTGTTTTTGTAAAGTTTCAGTTCAGGATAATCAAATTATTTTCTGCATTTAAGAGAGCCAAAACTGGATATGTCGGACTGTTCACAATGAGTAATGGATAAAGTTCTCCTAATGCTATCCACTCGGCATCAATTATGTATAAAATGAAACAAGCTTGATATTTATTTCCATTTATTTCCTATTACCTTATTCAATGTATTATTGCTGTGGAAATCATATATTCTTGGTTCCTTCATTCTATGTTGAAAAAATCTTAAAAGTCCCAATGTATTTTTGAAAAAAATAAAGATGTGCTAGTGTATCTATTAGGGCTGGGCGGTTTCGTTTCGTTAATTCGTAATTCGTTAATAATTCGTTAATTTTTTCAATTACAAAACGATAACGAACCATTCTGGAGCAATTATTTAAAAAAACGAATTTTCAAAAACGTTTTGTAAATGCTTCGTATTTCGATATTGTATTCGTTTCGTTATTGTTTTGAGGTCGTTTCGTTATTATTTCCGCATGTCTGGGCCAGTTTTATGGTTTAATTAGTGAAAAAAAATTATAATATCACACCAACAGTCAACAACAGAGGGAGAGGGAAGCTTCAGAAGGTTTTGGAGGTTTTTTAGCGTATTTCGCGGTCGCGTCCGCCATTAACGAATCGATTCGTTATTGTTTCGGAAATCGATTCGTTGATTTTTTACCATTTACGAAATTTCGTAAATATCGAACTTTTTAAAAGGAAAATTTTGTAATTATTTTAAATATCGAAACAAAAAAAACCCCAAATACAAATCGATTTTAGAAACAAATTTTTCCGTTGTTACCCAGGCCTAGTATCTATATATGTTTCAACAAACTTTTGAGAATGACTAGATCTAGCTCAGCCCCAGCCATTGCTGAATATGGCCTTATTCTTCCTACCAATTACCCAGGTCACTCTCTCTAATAGGCCCCGGAAATGAACAGCCATAGACCGTACCTATAGCACTGCCCTTAATTTCCCAGGTCCCCTAGAAATTTTGAGTTTGCACTAGCCTTGGCCCTGCCTTTTAAATTGCCTTGAATAGGCAAGATTACTTTTACTATATATGTGTTACTGAGACAATTTTATGCTTATATTGTTTTGTTAATTTTATGTTTACGTCATTTACTCTGTATTTATTGTTGATGTTACTTGGAAACCGCTCTCAGTCCCCTCGGAGAGATAGGGCGGTATATATCATATTGTTCATCTTTTTCATATCTGTTTTCCCGCGCTATGTTCATGTCATATTACAGTAAAATCATCAGGTCTTACTCTCTCTCTTTAATGGAAAGCTGTATGTTAAGTGAGTGTGTGAATTTTCCGTCCGATGCATGATTTGGTGATATACACATACAAATCCATCATTTCCAGTTCCTGAATCAGGATCAGAAATTTCTCCTTTCACCCAAGTCTTAATTCTCATTCTCTTAATCAGATTAAAAATGACCTAACATTTAATTGTCATGGCCAACGTGTTTACTTTTGTTCTGCTTCTTGTATATTTACAAACTGCATATACATTTACAAATTGTTAAGATAGATGATGTGTTGATCTCTTTAATAAGTTTTTGGCAAAATTCAACATTAGTCTTGTAAAGAGTAGTAGGCCCAGCGAAATCTGTGTCATATTTTTTCCTTCCTTTTTGAAAGCGATTTTGAGCATAGACTTCAAGCAGAGTGCTTTTTTGTGCTTAAAGCTATTCCCACTATTTGCATCCAGAAAAATATACCTGAATCTATATTAGCTACTCAAAAGGAACAGTCTTTATTTAACATAGATTTCAGAATAGTTGACAGGTGCCAATATTTCTGTCAGTGAAGGCGGGCTGTATCTTGACGGATATTGTAAAAAAAAAATCTATAGTAGAAGCATTAGGCAAGTCTTAATATGTAAATGTCATTGCTTCTCTCTGGCAAATTCAACTATGCTTTGTGTAAAATCTGTCTCCTTCTCTTGCCTGAAGAGAGTACAATCTAAAGTTTAATATTTTCTTTGTTAACGGCTAGAAGTTTTTACAATGCTTCCCTGTTGGAACACTGCAATAATTACGTAGTTTCTCTGTCTGTGGTACAAGTCCATAGCAAGTTGTGAGGAATGTGCTGTTCTGAATTGAAACAAGCAAGCAGGTGCTGCAATAGCGAAGGAGTCAATTCAGAGCTTATCGCTGGAGTAATTTGAAGCTTTGGGTGACAGGAGAAATTTCTTATCAGTGCCGTCCTTTTAATTCAAGGTATGTGAGGTTAAGTGTGGCTATGAATATGATGTGTTTAAATTAACCTTTTTGTTTTTAGTTTCCTTTACAGAGGATGAAAAAGAACAGCTGAGAAAATTCAGCAACAGAACTTTCCTTCTTGATAAAAGAGCCTGTCATCAAGTATATCTGAGCTTAGTTGATATACTTCTGGCCTATTGCTATGAAATCTATGCCAGTGAAGGCGAAAAGAATGTGAGTCTCTCTTTTTCTGCTCTGTTTTTTATGTGGCTTCATTGGCATGGCTACAGGGAATTGCTCCATCATTTGGGTGTAATGGCTTTCAAAGTGTACTTTAAAGACGGCGTTAAAAGATAGAACCGATATGGTAAATTGCTAGTACATTTGCCAGTATGGTGTTCTGGTTTTGTTTTTTAATGGTTGAGACTGGTATTTCTGACATCTTTTGGATGTTCTGGGGTTTTGTCCAACAAACAACAACAATAAAACTTTATTTATATACTGCTCTATCTCCCGAGGGGACTCATAGCAGTTTCCAAGTAACGTCTTCAATACATAAAGAATAAACAATGTAAACATAAAATTAACAAAACAATATAAGCATAAAATTGTCTCAGTAACACATACTGTATATACTCGAATATAAGCCTTAATTTTCAGCCTTTTTTTAGGCTGAAAAAGTCTCCCTCGGCTTATACTCGAGTCAAGGTTATTTATTATTTTACTCTGTTGTTGTTGTTGTTGTTGTTGTTATTACATTTATTATTTTATTTTATTCTTGTTATTGTTACATTTTTATTATTACTGCTATTATTACAATTTCTATTATTATTATTAATACATTTATTATTTCACTCTATTATTATTATTATTGGAAGGATACTTAAGCCCATTTCTATTGAAGGAGGTCAGAATAATGGTTTAATCAGAGTTGGGCAGTCTTATCTTAAATTACAATGTTATGTAAATATTCAAAAACATTTAAACTACTGATGCTTCAATTAAGTATTGGTATTTTTTTATTTTGAAATTTACCAGTAGCTGCTGAATTTCCCACCCTCGGCTCATACTCGAGTCAATCTGTTTTCCCATTTCTTTGTGGTAACATTAGGTGCCTCTGCTTATATTTGGGTTGGCTTATACTCGAGTATATATGGTATATATGAAAAGTAATCCTGCCTATTCAAGACAATTTAAAAGGCCGGGCCAAGGCTAGTGCAAGGTCAAAATTATTAGGGGGCCCGGGAAATTAAGTGCAGTGCTATAGCAGGCAACAACAGTAACAGGTTCAGTCTATGGCTGTCCAGACTTTAAGTAGGTATATTCACATAGTTGAACCTATTCCATCAAAATCTGGAGGGTTCTGTCCACCCCCACTGTAGAGAATACACACACACAAAATGCAGGTTCCAGAAGTTGGCATTGATATAAGTATGATAAATATTTAATTCATTCTAAGTAATACTTTTCTCAAGTCACTTGCATAATGATGTTGTCCCAAAGATTACCGTATATACTCGAGTATAAGCCGACTCAAATTTAACCCGAGGCATCTAATTTTACAGATAACTGTGAAAACATATTGACTTCAGTGTAAGCTGAGGGTGGGAAATGCAGCAGTTACTGATAAATTTCAAAATAAAAATAGACACCAATAAAATTAGATTAATTGAGACATCAGTAGGTTAAATGTTTTTGAATATTTTCATAAAACTGTAATTTCAGATAAGACTGTCCAACTCTGATTAAAGCATTATTCTAACAACCTTCAAAGTAAATGTGCTTACATATTCTTCCAATAATAATAGAGTAAAATAATAACTATAATGAAAATAATAATAGAGTAAAATAATGAAAGTGTAATAATAATAATAATAAATAGAGTGAAATAATAAATGTAATAATAATGATGATGCTTATGATAATGATAAGAGAGTAAAAAGATAACTAATATTGACTCAAGTGTAAGCCGAGGATGGTTTTTTCATCCTGACAAAAAGGGCTGAAAATGCAGCTTATACTCAAGTATATATGGTAATTTTGGCATTCTGGTTTTGTATTGCTGTAGTTAAGATGTTTAATATTTGCCTGAGTTGTTCTTTTGGAATAAGACTTCTTATTACAAAAGTTGGTTTCTGCATTTTTTTCTGTGTAGCCTATATCCATGAATGTGGAGTTTTTTTTCCAAAAGGTACTAAATCCACAAAACAAAACAAAACCATGAAAAAGAGATATAGGTGACACCACATTGTTGGCTTTGTACAGATCAAAACCATTAATATGTATCAAATCATTTCAGTTCAGGGCATGGAAAACTGCATTTTATAGCAATTGCATTTTATAACGACTGGAGCAGCTCCTGGACTATGATTTTGGATTGCGTGGTTTTTAAGAATTGGTTTTAATGTTTATATGTTTTTTAATTTTATCTTTTAAATGTATATGTTTATTTTATTATATGTCTGTTTTATGTGACATTGAATTATTGCGTATGGTAAGGCCTCTCTGAGTGCACTTCAGGGTGAGTAGGACAGGGTACAAATACAGAAAATAAATAAATAATAAATAAGATCTGTTTAATTTTAGGGGCATTCAGGATTGTTTATTAGCTAAATTATATCTTAAATGTTTTCTTCGGAATTCTATGCTTTAGCAAATACTAAATGTAAGTGGCCCCAAGTCCCTTTGAGGAAATGGAGGTGGGGTAAAAAATTAAAATTGTTGTTATCATCATCATCATCACCGTCATCATTATATATCATTTCAAAACCTTGTAGTTTTCATTCTCTTAAGTTTATGAGAATATCATTTTGTATTGTTCCTGCATTATTTACTGATAATGTTTTTCTGTAAACAAGGTTGAATCACCATGGAATATAAGAAAACTGAGTTCAACTTTGTGCTGGTTGGTGGTAAGAAAAACATAACAATGTTTATGGGCCACTATTGTTAAATCCATAGTGCATCTCTTGTACCACATACTAAACAGATATATATTTTAAACAAAGCTACAGCCTTAATTATCCTCTTATCCTCTTACTATTGCATTAATTCTTCAAAATGTTCCATGCAGACGTTCACTGGGATGTCTGACGTCCTGATATCCTTTGGAAGAAGGGTTCTCTGCTATCCTCTCTACAGACATTTCAGTTTGGTAACCCGGGCCATAAACGACACCATTGTGATATTACAACTAGGTAAGACATTTATTGTGCTGCCATGACTTGAGATACTTGTTATCGTCATAGTGTGACAGCTTAAAGGGATCAAATACTTTTATGATATGAATACTTCTGTTTAACAAGAGCATAATTTTGGAAAAGTACTTCATTTTTGCCTCTAATATCCTTCCCTCCAATGAGTAGTTGGGCATGTCACTGCCTCCAAACTATCTCCCTCTATTTGCTAGAGCGTAGCAGCAGTAATAATTTTAGGGTGATCAGCAAGGATTGCAAACTGTTGAAAAACCTTCCTGGTTGCTGAAACATCCAAGTGCTCTATCTCCATTTCTTCTTAGGTTTTCATTTCCTGAGTTAAACACTGTGTCATTATCTGATTGAAAATATCCCTTTCCTATCCACTTTGGTTTACACATTCTTGTTTTACAACCTCTAACTTCCTTAGACTCATGCTTCTCACATTTCATGTTCCTATAATCTGTGTTTTGCAGCTTTGTACTTTCCTTTCATCTTTAGACATGTCAACAACTAAACTGCCTTTCAGCTTGAGGCCAGTTGCATCATTAGTCACAGTGCTACTCATAATTGTCCGTTGTTTTTCCCTGTTAGTTTGTGGAGAGATTTCCAGCTGGGAGTCTCATCTTTTGGCATTATTGTTTGTTTCATTTTGGGTTGTCTCATCATAGGGTTTGAATGGTAAAAAAAAAAAAAACCCATCCAGACGTGGTTTACCATGTCTCCTCTCTGTAGCATTAACAAGTATTAGTAGCTCTTTGGCACATTTAATCTGGCTCCTCAACAAAAGCTGTTCTGACGTGAGAGATCCTAAAGGCATCAATGCTGCCAGTGGCATAGCTTCTTATGTTTTGCTATGTTTTATTTTAATTGTGGTTTTGTTTTAATGGACTGTTTTACTTTTATGTCTTGTGGACATTCTGTCCCATATGTAAGCTGTCTGAGTCCTTTCAGGGAGATGGTGGCGGGGTATAAGAATAAAGTTGTTGTTGTTGTTACTGCCTTCCTGCAATCCCATCACCATGATAGGTATTGCTATTATGGTGAGGTCTGAAATTACCTGTAGCTATGCCTGTACATATTTATTATTTAACTACTGTTACTTTGCACAATAGGAAATTCCATACATCAAGTGCACAAGGTGATGGAAGAGAAAGATTTCCCTTCCCTTCATGTCAGCTTGCTTTGCTTCCAGTTTGCTTACAGAGGAGCCCCAAGAAAGTGGAGGGTGCTGATGCTTCTTTTAGGGTCTCTTGGAATGGACTAAGATCTAACCTTTAGCTATTCTACTCACAGAAAGGGATGGTTCTTTAAAAAAAGTTAATCCTCTACCTTAAGATTTATCAAAAAATAAACTATCCTCTTCTCTGAGTAGAAGGGTCTTTGTGAATGTATAGGTGGGAAATTGGCAGCTGTGGGAGTTGGCCCTCTGAGCTGGACGAAATCAAAGTAATTTGAGCCACTTACTTGTAAACCGCTCCGAGTCCCTTCAGGGAGAAGGGGCAGGATACAAATAATTTATTATTGGTATTATAATGTCACAATATGATTTGAAAGGTTTTAGGCATTTATAACATGGACAAAGCAAAGCCTTCTCCTTGAGAGAACGATGAGGGAAAATACTACTATATCCCATAATTTACTGCAAGCACACCACTCACTAAAAATGTTTAAAAGTGTAAAAGTGTTTTTTTTTAAGTCAGTGTTGAATTGGTTCAATTTCTTTACATTGGCAAATGCTTTGTTTTGGCTGTGCAAAGTTACCTAGGAAACAATTGTAGGATGAAATGTGATTGGTGCAGTTGAATGATTGTTAGCATTGTGGGTGGAATTTGAATAACTCGGCCTCCACTTGTGCATGTGTTTGACAAAAATGAGTCCTTAACCACGTCCACTTGCATTATTTCATTCAAGAAAGGAAGGCTACATAGTACATCTATTACAGTTTTTCAGATGCTTTGAGAGATGTTATGATGGAGCTAAATCAATGGAAGCATGGTCTTGGTAATAAAATTATATAAAGACAATTACTATTGCAGAGTGTTAAGAGGAAAAGTGAGTAATCCTCATATGTCAGTAACAGAGCAGAGAAAGCTAATGCTATAAAGTATGCAGTCTTGTGTTCATTTATCTTAAAATAAGCACTAATTTCCGTGATACCCCAGAGTGAATAAAGCAGATTTTTAAAGAAGAAAATAGAGTGTTTAAATATTTAAAATGGGTAGAAATTGGCACGTTAGATTAAATAATAAGTTACATTCATTTGGGCCCTGCACTAATGCTTCATATAGTACAGGTATGGGCAAACCCAGGCCCGGGTGCCAGATGCAGCCCCTTGGACTCTTTTCTCAGGCTCTCCTCTCTCTCACCATCCTATTCTTCCTTCCTTCTCTCTTTTCTTCCTTACTTACCTCCCCTTTTCTCCCCTCCTCCTTCCTCCTCTTCTATCCTTTCGCCATTCCTTCCTTTCCTCTTTCCTCCCTCCTTCCCCCTCTCTCTTTCCCCTGCCCTCCTTTTGTCCCTCCATCCCTTCCATCCCTCCACTCCCTTCCATTCTTCCCTCCCTCCCTCCCTCCCTCCCTCCTTTTCTTCTGGGGGATGTTTAGCTGGAAGAAGAGAAGTTAGAGAGGGAACATGAGAACCATATTTCAAGATTTAAAAAGGTGTCCCATTGAGGAATAGGAGGTGGAAAACTGACTTTCTGTTCCGCTAGAGACCAGGGCAGAAGGGAGCAATTGGTTCACATGGCAGGGAAAGAGATTCAACTGAAAAGATTAGGAAGAACTTCCTGAAAGTAAGAGCTGTTGGAGAGTGGCATGGGCTGCCTCAGAGGGTGGTGGAGTCTCCTTCTCTGGAGGCCACAGTGGCTGTCTATTGGGAGTGCTTTGATTGTGCCTTCTTGCATGGCAGGGGGGTTGGACTGGATAACCTTGGGGGTCTCTTCCAGCTCTAGGAGTAGATTAGGAGTAGGCAATACGGGATCTAACGAATACACTCTTTTTCTCCCGTCCACTATCCCATCCTAACCCTTTTGGGATTCAAATGTTTCCCATCTTTCCATCACTTTCTGCCTCCGAAAGAGAAGAGGAAGGGGAGTAAAGGCAGGGAGGAGATCGCTCCGGCTTGCTATGTGGCCCCCAAGTTAGAAAGTTTGCCCATACCTGATATAGTGGGAACACAGTTCTGAATCTCCCTAGTATCAGAAACTGAGACTATATTGGTACTCCTTTTTTTATCTCTTTGCCTCCCAACATCTGCAATTTGGCTATGTCTCGCGTTCTGCACATATATGACTCTAAGTAGCTTGCATACTTGTTTTAAGGGGAAGGCTCCAGATATTATAGTAATTGTCCTTCTGACTTCACAGGCTTTGTCTTCAAGTAAGTGCTATGTAATTCTTCATGCTTGAGAACAAATAGAAAAAATAATTTTACATCTTGATTCCTGTATTTAAGTAAATACCTTTCTATAGCATAAAAGACATGTCAGCTGCATAATCAAAAGTTACCAAAGTATACTTTTAGATACATTTCTTAAAATGCCAATCCGTATGCCAAATAATATGCCCATTTTTATAATGCCTGTACAGGGAAGAAGATAATTACAAAAAGCATGACTGGAGTGTTCGTACAGTTTTTATTAGCTCTCCATGAAGTATCCAAATCATTGGTGGCTCATTTATAATAAAATGTAGCAGCAAATAGAGTTGCTACTCTGATTTGGAATAGAGCAGTATGAATAGAAGGTACAGCAAAATACTTGGGGGGAAGGAGGGGTGATCAAGAGATTGAAAGAATGGATTATGGAATGCTTTCTTTTAGAATGATGAATGAAGTGTTTATGACCTTCTGGCAAGGAAACTAGTCCAATGTGGGCTAGGCAAAACTACGGTGAGGTGGATCTGTAATTGGTTAAGTGGACGAACACAGAGAGTGCTCACTAATGCTTCCTCTTCATCTTGGAAAGAAGTGACAAGTGGAGTGCCAGGGTTCCGTCCTAGGCCCGGTCCTGTTCAACATCTTTATTAATGACTTAGATGAAGGGCTAGAAGGCATGATCATCAAGTTTGCAGACGACACCAAATTGGGAGGGATAGCCAATAGTCCAGAGGACAGGAGCAGAATTCAAAACGATCTTGACAGATTAGAGAGATGGGCCAAAACTAACAAAATGAAGTTCAACAGTGACAAATGCAAGATACTCCACTTTGGCAGAAAAAATGAAATGCAAAGATACAGAATGGGGGATGCCTGGCTCGAGAGCAGTACGTGTGAAAAAGATCTTGGAGTCCTCGTGGACAACAAGTTAAACATGAGCCAACAATGTGATGTGGCGGCAAAAAAAGCCAATGGGATTTTGGCCTGCATCAATAGGAGCATAGTGTCTAGATGCAGGGAAGTCATGCTACCCCTCTATTCTGCTTTGGTTAGACCACACCTGGAATATTGTGTCCAATTCTGGGCACCACAATTGAAGAGAGATATTGACAAGCTGGAATGTGTCCAGAGGAAGGCGACTAAAATGATCAAGGGTCTGGAGAACAAGCCCTATGAGGAGCGGCTTAAAGGAGCTGGGCATGTTTAGCCTGAAGAAGAGAAGGCTGAGAGGAGATATGATAGCCATGTATAAATATGTGAGAGGAAGCCACAGGGAGGAGGGAGCAAGCTTGTTTTCTGCTTGCTTGGAGACTAGGACGCGGAACAATGGCTTCAAACTACAAGAGAGGAGATTCCATCTGAACATGAGGAAGAACTTCCTGACTGTGAGAGCCGTTCAGCAGTGGAACTCTCTGCCCCGGAGTGTGGTGGAGGCTCCTTCTTTGGAAGCTTTTAAGCAGAGGCTCGATGGCCATTTGTCAGGGGTGATTTGAATGCAATATTCCTGCTTCTTGGCAGGCGGTTGGACTGGATGGCCCATGAGGTCTCTTCCAACTCTTTGATTCTATGATTCTATGATTCTATGACAAGGTGCTCATGCATGTATTGCTCAAATATTATGTATGA